TCGGGAGGCTGAGGCAGGAGAATGGCGTGAACCCAGGAGGCGGAGCTAGCAGTGAGCCGAGATCGCTCCACTGCACTCCAGCCTGGGCGACAGAGCGAGACTCCGCGCTCACTCCCCCACTCCAAAAAAGAGAAACCATACCAAATGTTAATGAGAATGAGGAGCAATCAAAACTCTCCATATACTGCTGGTGGAAATATAAAATAGTACAACTGCTTTTGGAAAACAGTTTGACAGTTTCTTGCAGTTAAGCACATACCAGGCATGTGCCCAGGCATTCCACTCCTAAGTATTTACCCAAGATAAATGAAAACAGTCCATACAAAGACTTGGGCATGAATGTTCACAGTAGCTGTATTTCCAACAGCCCAAAACCAGAACAAACCCATCAACGCATGAACTGACAAACTGTGGGTGAGAATGCAACTCAGCAATTAAAATGAAATATTGGTATATGCAACATAAATGTATCTCAAACAAGTATGTTGAGTAAAAGAAGTTAGACAAAGGAAGCACAGAGTTTACGATTCCATTCACATAAAAGTCTAGAAAATTCAAACTAATCTATAGAAACAGAAAGCATATCAGTGTTTGCTTGAGGACTGGGAGGGAGAGATTGAAAACATACATGAGAAAACTTTGGGTGTGATGGGTGTGTTCATTATCTTGACTGGGATAATGATTTCACAGGTATACAAGAGGTCAAAATTTATCAAATTGTACATTGTACATGAGTAGTTCTTATGCCAAAAATGCCTACTTCATGAGAAGACGTTTATTTTTCTCAACTATACTGAAAACTCAGCATAATGTAAATGAAAACCCAAAAAGGTTCTGTGTAATTTCAGAATGCTTTTATTCAAGTGAATATCGCAGAATGTACTGTGACACTAGTCAAAAAAATTCTGAAAAGAAACGGCCTAAGAAATACTACCACATAATAGAAATCTAATAAAAATAGTTTCGTACTGGCCTACTAATACTTTGATGAATGGAACAAATAGAAGTTCAGAAGTTAACACTAGTATTTACAAGAAATGTATTAGATAATGCAAGTAGTATCTCAGATCTGTGGGAGAGATTATTCAAGTAAATGTGGTTGAGAATAATCTGGGTGCTAGGGTGAGGTGATCCCTACCTTAATGGGATCACCTATTCCCTACTGTAAAGTTCATTCCCCATCCCCAGTTTTCCTCCCATAGTGTCATTCCTTATCTTCATAGCACTTTACACTTCATATGCTTTCTATTTTACTGTCTCCCATACTAAAAGAGCTCTGCTCATCATTTTTAGACCTAGGGTCTGACACATGATAGGTATTTAGTAAGTACTGTGTTGAATGAATTCATGAAGCAATGTATGATGGAACAACTGCACAACTGGAAAAAGGAATCATAAATGTGTCTGATGAAAACAAGCAAATGCTCATATAAAATCTCTACAACTTTCTAAACATTTTCAAGACAGAAGTTCAAAACGGAAAAGACAAGACTTGATGAAAAAAAATGTAAAGCTTCTGAATGGAAAACAAAGGTCACAATAAATACAAATAAAAGGCAAACTGGGAAAACACATTTGGCACATGCGGACAGAGAAATTAATATCCTCAATCTATAATGACTATTTATAGACCAGTAAGAAAAAGATGCGCAAGCCCATAGCAAAATCTTTTTTAAAAAAGGAACATTAAGAGGCAATTTGTAAAAGATATTACAATTACCAATATATGGAATTAAAGAAATATCTGATAACTCTTATAATAAAAAAATTAAAAGTCAAAATGATTAGCTATCTTTTAAATTAGGAAACTGGTAGACATTTTTATTTGTTGTTCTGTTTTGTTTTGTTTACTTCTGAAACAGAGTCTTGCTCTGTCACCCAGACTGGAGTGCAATGGCATGACCATTGCTCACTGCAGCCTCAAACTCCTGGCCTCAGACAATCGTCCTGCCTTGGCCTTCCAAAATGCTGGGATGACACGTGTGAGCCACCACACCCAAGAGTAGACATTTTTAAAGTAAGATTTAATATGTAAGGCTGCTAAGAGAGCTGAGAAGTGGACAGTGTTATGCCTGTTGGCATGAGAGTGAAATGATTTACTAGGAGAGAAAAATAGCTTACTCCTCCTGGGAGGCATCTTGATAATAAATACTAAAAGTCTTAAAGTTATACATTCCCTTTGAGTATTTCTAAGAACTTGAAGAAAACTCCACAGACATATACAAAATGCCATCTTCAAAAATGTTAACATCACAGGGCAATTTTAAATTGAAAAAGTAGAAACAAATATGGAATATTGAGAATTTAGCAAACACATCACAAAATATTAATGTGCAAAGAAGCATGACATATGTAACTCTCAAATGGTTCAAAAGAATTCTAAAAATAGTAATAATCATCTCTCTCTACATTCGCAAATGCATACACCAAAAATGTGTATATGCACACATATTAAGGGAGAAAGTGATACAACAACTGCAGTAGATTGTTAACAACTGAAGCTTCTGGGTCAAGGTTACATGGGAGGTTCTTTGTGCTACTATTCCAACACCTCTGTAGGGTTGAAATTTTTTCAAAATAAGCTAAAAATAAAAATTCAGCAAACAAAAACGTTCAGAAAGGAATGTTAAAGTCCCATTCACTCTTCATTCCCCATTCCTCTCCACAGATAATACTCTTGTAAAACTTTTGTTGTTCATTTTAGAGATGCAACTCACTATGTTGCCCAGGCTCACCTTGAACTCCTGGGCTCAAGTGATCCTCCCACCTCACTTTCCTGTGTAGCTGGAACTACAGGCATGTACCACTGTGCCTGGCTTAAAACATTTTCAAGTTGCACAAGTATCTTTAAAAATCTAGGATACTTTTCACTATATATTGAGTAAAAATCACATGTATATATTAATATAAATCATGACATAAAGTATCATTTCAGTCTTTTTTAATATGTCAATAACAAAGTCATCACCATAGGATGGTCCTGCTAATTTTATTTTCATCTTTCCATTAACTGTATTTTCTAAATCTTACATGGTGTATGGATGACATGTGCAATTTTAAAAAAAGTATTATTTGAAAAAAGGTACTAAAAATTAGTTCATGCCATTTTCCAAATTCTGACATGCAATATAATATGAGAGATGATGCTTAGAGTTTGGACTCCAGAGTCAGAAATACCTGGGTATGAATTCCAGTTTTGAACTTAAGAGCTATATAATGTGTCTGTATTTACCCTATCACTTCCTCTGGTTTTTTGCATAGACCCTAACTGCTACTTCAAGAAATTCTAGGTAAGGAAAATGACATCACAAAGCAAACTTTTCCCTATTTCCTGTAGGTTTTATAAAATATAATCTTGGAAAGCAAAAACATTGCCCTCAACACAAATCATATTATAGAGATAAAAATGCCACTAACCAGCCGGGCACGGTGGCTCAGGCCTGCAATCCCAGCACTTTAGGAGGCTGAGGCGGGTGGATCATGAGGTCAGGAGATCGAGACCACGGTGAAACCCCGTCTCTACTAAAAATACAAAACTTAGCCGGGTGCGGTGGTGGGCGCCTGTAGTCCCAGCTACTTGGGAGGCTGAGGCAGTAGAATGGCATGAACCTGGGAGGCGGAGCTTGCAGTGAGCCGAGATCAAGCCATGGCACTTCAGCCTGGGCGACAGAGACTCTGTCTCAAAAAAAAAAAAAAAAAGCCACTAACCACAGTATAAAAAATAAGATTGAGTGTAATTATGTATAAGACAGAAAACATACAAACATCTGGATTTATGCTAGAGTAGAATTTATTTAGAATTTAATTCAGTAAGCTGTACTGAACAAAGACATTGCCAACAGCTGTTGTATTAGTCCATATCAGCTGTTAAAAGGGATATACTTACCCATCTAATATTAGACTTTCATAGGCAGCTTTTTTGTCACATACAGGACAAATCCAGGTGGGCTTCTTCTCATTCATTTGTAGATAAAGGGCAGCATCAAAACACTGCAGATGTGTACAAGTCACTGCACGGCATGGGATTGTCAGTCTCATTTTTCCTAACTACAGGACAGGAAACACAAGGAAAACTAGTTCAGAAAGGAGAAGGAGCTCAGAGGGAACGTGGTCAGTTGTAAAAGTCTAAAGATGTCATACAAGAAGATGACAAAAATGAAAAAGAAATCCAAACCAGAATGTATTCCCAGGGAGATTAGAATATATTTTTATTCACTGATTGCCCTATGATTTTTGAAAAACCATTTCTCTTTTTCAAAACAGGTAACATGTAAATCCAGATTCATATACGTTGAAAATATGACTCCTCCTTACCTGGTCCCCAGTTTCCCTATTTAGAGAACCACTGTTATCCATCTCTTGCATGTCCTTTCATAGATGTTCTAAGCATAAACCAAGTGTGTATTTAAAGTATTTTCCCAGGAATTATAGGATACAATACACACTGTTTTCCAACTCACTTCTGTCATATAACTTGGTGACTACTGCACACAAATTGGTATATAAAAAACTACCATTATATGAAGGTATCATAATTTATTTAACCAGTACATTAATGACTGACATTTAAATTGTTTCCAATCTTTTATCACTACAATGCTGTAATGAGTATTTCTAAGATTCCTATATTTATAATATTTATAATATTCATAATTTCTAGAAGTGAAACTTCTGGGTGGAAAGAAAAGGACATTTGTAATTTTTGTCACATTAACACACTATCTTCCACAAAAAGTACCTACTGGGTTATGTATACAAGTGTATTAACATGCTTTGTTCCACTCAACCTTTCCAATATAGTGTTATTAAATTCTTTGATCTCTGCCAATCTGGAAGGTGACAAATATCCCATTATAGTTGTGAACTACATTTCTCTTATTATTGGTAGTTGAGCCTCTTCTTTTACTTCTAAGAGTCATTTGTGTTTCTAAGAACTTTCTACCTATAACCTTTTCTCATTTCCCATCTGGTTATTAATCTTTTTCTATTTGTAGGCACTCTTTATATAAGAAATCAGCCATGTGTGTAATATGAACTGCAAATATATTTTTCATTTATGAAAATTTATTTTTATATAATCAACTGTGTTAATTTTTCAATATACTTTTGATTAACTCTAGTGCTGTTAAATTCGTATTGCAACTAGTAGTGGTCCATCGGCACCAAGACGTATACAACACCCAGATTTGGTCAGACCAGGTTTTCCTACATAATCCTTCAAACCTCCCCACATATTTCCCTTACAGAAAATATCACTATTTATAACCAGTCCTGCTATTTTGATTGAAAATCTGTTTCTCCCACTAGATCTTAAGCTCCAAAAAGATGGTCTAGATCTCTGCTTACCACTGAATCCCACTGTCCTAGCACAATACTAGCTCATAGTATGTGCTCAGTATTTGTTGACCAGATAGGAGAATGAATGGAGATGGACCAGAAATGGGGAAAAGAACAAACAGGAAACGAAGAAGATGGACCTCCTTTTATGCTATAAAGTTTGAAAGAATTCATGGCAAAATTAAAACATTCTTAGTTCTGCCTGAGAGGCAGGCTTTTTAGGATGTTCTTTTTCTTTTGGTTCATCTGTAATTTCTAATTCCTCTAAAATGAACACCTGGTAATGTAGTAATTTAAAAAGAAAATAATTTAGCTGAATCATCAACACAGAAGTAACATTTATATAGTTCCACCTACGTGCAAGGTACAGTGTTGACTACTTCACATTAATCTCAAAAACACTTTTACAATTACATAACAATTATACTAAAAGGATGGTATCATTATCATCCCCATTTTATAAATAAGGAAACTAAGGTACAAAGAAGCTAAGTAACCTAACACTACAAAGTTAGAAAATGGCAGAGCAGGTCTGATCTGGGAAGCTCCAGCCCTGCAGAGTCCACACTCTCATCACTGCTATACTGTCTCTACCTAAGTGTCTAACCAGAGTTCTAAAAGGGGTCTTCGAAATTTCTGTGATTTGATCAAGGTATGTGGCACAATATAACTCATCACTTAGAACAGAAAAAGGTCGGAATAAAACCTGAGGCAGTTTCTCTTCTTATCATACATCTTTCTATATTTTTCCTGCCTTTAAAAACAAATTATTTCTTAAACAGACCCTTACAGTATGCCCAAGGCTTTTATATAAATCTCATAAAATCTTCATAACTCTATGACTCCAGAAAAGCTGGTATCTATATTTCTATTTCTGAAATGAAGATGCTGAAGCTACAAAAGGTTAAAACCACACACTCACTGATATAGCTGATAGAGCTATATCACAAATGGTCCTCACATTCCAGAGACATCCCAGTTTTATAACATTACAAATGGTGTTAGTTTTTTAATTTAATTACCCTCCTTTTCCTCTTTTGCTAAGTTTTTGTTCTATTAAAAATGAATGTTGACTAAATACCTATTCAGCACCCAATGAGATAACAGGTTTTTTAAATCCTTTCAATGATAAGATGAATAATTTTAATAGATTTTCCTATTATCCTTTTTTTAAATCACATGTTATTCTTTTTAAATAGTACCAACATAAACATTCGCTGGTTATTTAGAAAGTTTCCACCAATGTAAGTGAGTTGGCTTTTTTGCACAATCACTGTGTGGAAACAACTCAATCACTGAACTCGTTATTAAATTACACTATGCCTATTCAACAAAATGCCCACAATGATTAAAATAAGACCAATCTACACATATTAATACACTTAAGATACACTGTTAATTAAAAAACAGCAAGCCATAGGACAGTATATATTTTCCAATAAACATACATATAATTATATAGAGAATTACATCTAGAAAAATCTATCATGCTACTAGTAATGTTACTTCTGAATAATAGACCTTGCAAATTTAAAATTATCATTTTTACTTTTCGGCTCTATTTGAATAATTTTAAAGTAGGTATTATTTGTCAATTTTTATAATTTTTTCTTTAAAATAACGTTCTAACTCAGCCTACCACGGTTTTAACAGTTATCTGTTCTCATTTGGTTTCAAAACCCCTTTGGACTCCTAAAAATTAAGACCTTGGCCAGGCACAGTGGCTCACCCCTGTAATCCTAGCACTGTGGTAGGCCGAAGTGGGTGGATCACCTGAGGTCAGGAGCTCGAGACCAGCCCAGTCAACATGGTGAAACTCAATCTTTACCAAAAATACAAAAATTAGTTGGGCGTGGTGATGGGCCCCTGTAATCCCAGCTACTTGGGAGACTGAGGCAGGAGAATTGCTTGAACCTGGGAGGCAGACGTTGCAGTAAGCCGAGATCACGCCACTGCACTCCAGCCTGGGCGACAAGAGCGAAACTCTGTCTCAAAAAAAAAAACAAAAAAGGCCGGGCGCAGGCGTTCACGCCTGTAATTCCAGCATTTTGGGAAGCCGAAGAGGGTGGATCACGAGGTCAAAAGTTCGAGACCAGCCTGGCCAACATGGTGAAACCCCGTCTCTACTAACAATACAAAAATTAGCCAAGCATGGTGGCAGGCGCCTGTAATCTCAGCTACCTGGAAGGCTGAGGCAGGAGAACTGCTTAAACCCGGGAGGTGGAAGTTGCAGTGAGCTGAGATGGTGCTACTGCACTTCAGCCTGGGCGACAGAGCAAGACTCCGTCTCAAAAAAAAAAAAAGAAAAAAAAGGGAAAGAAAAAAAAAATTAAGACATCAAAGACGCTTTATGTATGTGGGCTATAGTTATCAATATCTGTATATTAGAAATTAAAACATATTTTTAAAAGACAAGAGTACACAAGTACACATTCCATTAGCCATCAGAGCAACGACATCATCATCATCTATCAGGTAACCCACATTAAACATCACTTTATGCTCATAAGAGAGAAAGAACACAAAAAGCCAAAATTATGTGTCAATATTATTACAAAAAGTTTTAATTTTGTAGTCCTCTTCAAAGAGTGTCAGGGACCTTCAGGTATCCATGGGCCACATTTTGCAAATCGCTGCTTAGGGATTGTTTTTGTCGTTTTCTTCTGTGCCGTTTCCATCTCTCCTGTCACAGCCTTAAAATTTCCACAGCATACAGAAATGAGAATATCCAGGACTATAAAAGTTGTTGACCCTAAATTTAATCCTACTCTAGTTGTCTTATAAGAACTAATGAGCATTTCCTAAGAAGGCATTTGTTACTAGCTAGCAAAATTTTGTCAATTTCCTAGTGACTATGGAATGTTATTAAAAAGGACCTGAATGTGCCATCAAAATAAATTCTAATTCTAATTTAACCAGATGAAGGTGCTTTTTTGAAATTTATTATTTTTATGAATGAAGTGGTATCTAAGTAATGCAACACTTTTTTCCTATAAAATGTTAAGCTGGCATTATCCAAATTCTATTCACTGTAGAGTAATTACTACCAATCTAAAGTAAGAGAGTTTTCAAGTTGAAAAGGCCCAAACTGGTGGTTTCCAACTATTTTCAGCAGGACTTTTTTTTTTTTTAAACATATTAGAATCTCAAGAGATAAAATCAAACCTAGCTTGCTTTCTTTTTCTTTCTCAGCTACTCAGCCCACCTCCGCAGGGCAGACAGAAAATCACTAGCTGAAATCACCAAAGTGAAACTCCTATGTAAAATTCAGATATTGTGTTCAGAAATATAATTATGCACACTCAATTAGATCCTCTTCAATAACTACTGTGACATTACCTTCCTTTAGTCCCAAGGACAGAGGTTTTAGAATTCGCTCCCACTATTCAGGACTCACTTCTACTGCAAATCACCTTACGAAAATATTGTGAAATGTAATAAACATTTATTCTATAACCCTACATTATTATTTTCTCTTGTTTTTGCCAAATAACCCAGGGTTCACTTCTTATCCAAGTGCCTGGGGTTTATTTTTTTCCTTCTCCATTTCCCATTACTGCACCAGATCCCATGTTATCTCCATTGTTAGCCAGCTGGACTCCATTCTGCTTTTTCCAACTAATAATAGGACTGACTTTCTCAAACACTGCTTTCATCATCTAACTTCTGTCATCCATCCACCAAATCTAATCAACACACTTGTGTCTGGTAGTCTAATTAATATATACCACATATTACAGTTTAGCTACTCAACTTTATGTTAACACTACTACTATAGCCCAAAGAGTACCATTTATTCTTTTCTTAGAAAGTGCTCTGAAAAGATCAACGAACCCTGAGGAAAAGCTCAAAAGACAGTCTCACAAACAGACCTGTTGTCACTTCTGAGCAGAGAGAAAAAAACACTTAAGAAACTTAAAACAAGATTTCAAAAACCTATTTGATCTGTTACTTCATTTCTTCAAGTAACTGAAAAGTTAATTTTCTTAAAATTGGTAATGTTTGAAAGGAACTGCTCTCTATTCTTACACAGAAGGAATCCTAACCTCTCTGATATGCTGCTTTCACTATTATTGAAAGTTTGGCTCATGAGATGGCCTATGCCTGTAATTCCAGCACTTTGGGAGGTCATGGTGGGCAGATCACTTGAGGTCAGGAGTTTGAGACCAGCCTGAGCAACATGGTGAAAGATCTCTACAAAAGACACCAAAATTAGCCAGGTGTGGTGGTATGTGGCGGTAGTCCCTGGTACTCAGGAGGATGAGATGGGAAGATCACTTGAACCCAGGAGGTCAAAGCTGCAGTGAGCCGTGATCATGCCACTATGTTCCAGCATGGGTGACAGAGAGAGATCCTGTGTCAAAAAAATTTAAAAAGTCTGAGACTTTTTGGTTTTGGTTGCTCTCATGTAGAATGGCAGTCTGTATGAAAAAAAAAAAAATTAAAAGATTCTAAGAAAATGGCACTGCATAACCGTAAAACTCCTTAGGTAAGTTGTGTAGAAGACTTTCTTCCTGATACAATAGTTTGACATCTAAAACATAATGGTGACATGAGTTTCCTCCCCATATGGTGACTGTATGTGGAATACAGCTGGCAATTAATGTTTACTGAATATACTAGGGTTACATAATAAAAAAGGGTCAATATCCAACCATTTTTTAACCAACAAAAAGGTAATTTCACTTCTTTCAATCTACTATTAATTTTAATTTTAACATGAGAGCGTAGAAAAAGAATAACCTGAAGACACTGAAAAGAACTCAAGCCTGAAGGTTTGCATAGAACTTGCGCTCAGAGGAAGTCGTGGGTCCTTCCGCATGCCTCCTAGAGCCTCTGTCACCACCTTCAGGGCTTTCAGGTCCTACCCTACTGGAACTGCACACCTCTTCCCTGCGTTTGACAAGAGCACATTCCCAGTATCCAAGCAATCCTGATATCAAAAAATTCTATTTCAATGAAGGCAAGCTCATATGTTTAAGTTAATGAAGATTAAAAGAGTGATGCTTCAAAAAAAGATTTGCAAATACCACTTTCCAGAATAAAAGAGACGTACTTGTAATCAGGACATGTATATTTTAGCCCAATCTGGCAGCATGGTATATTGGAAAGAGAACAGGAATGTCAGAACACAATCTTTATCCTTGTTCTACCACTAACTGTAATTTGGGTTAGCCAACCTCGTTCAGTCTCAGTTTCTTCATCTACAAAATGAAGACAACTCCTCCACACAGGTTTGCTAAGATAGTTAAATAAAGAACATACAGTAGAAACTCAACAAATTATTATCTTTTCTTTCTGACACAATTTCTCCCCATTTAAAAAACTGTACATTTCTCAAAATGGTGGGCAGTCATCAAACGCCCACAAAATTACATTATAAATTCCTGATTCCATGACTTTTCTCACCAAGTTCTTCTTAACTGGAAAGGGTTCCCCTCTAATTCATTCAATGTTCCTGATCCTCCCATCTCCTCTTGGTAGTATAACAGCCTAACTGTAAGTGAAGTCTGCTCCATTTTTATAGGAGTTGGTTTTATTTTTCAAACTCAATTGTTAACATTCTAAGCAAGCCTCAATATTTTCTCCCACAATTAGCTCAGTGGCAAGTAAACAGGACGATGTGAGAGTTGCTAACTGATTTCTCCCTCATACTTTCTATGTAAGGAGATATAAAAGAAAAATTATTGTGCAATTTAAAAGACCATTACAAAGACATCCTACGCATCCTAACTCACTAAACCAAGAGCATCAATTAGCATTTATCAGGCCCCAGTCACTTTATTTTTCAGTATCATTTTATATTCTTATAAAAGGAGTCAGCTCTTAAAATATTTTTATTTATAGCTGTGTATTATCTACAACATTAATTACAACAGATTATTCTAAGCCTAAAGCTATCTTCCCTCTTCTTTGTATTCTTTGCATGCCCAAATAATACAAAGCATTGTGACTTAATCATGAAGATTCCTTAATGGGAAAAGACAAAAGTTCAGAATTCTATCATAATATATCATTCATTCCCACACTTATTTTTATAGGAAAGTTAATCATTTATAAAAAGTCAAATTCCCTAGAATGTTTTGTTGCTTTACTTACAGGGCACATCAAAGATACCCGAAGGCTAGTTGTAGCAATTTCACTATCAGGATCTGCAGTAAGTTTTTCTTTAACTTTAAAGAGAAGAGAAAAAAAATAAAATTAAAAAAAATTAAGGGTGACAAAGAAATGGAATTATAGAAATATATAGCATCTTAAAACAAAATGTTAAATATTAATGTATTGAAAACACAATCACACTCCCAATGTAAGTTAAATAATTATGAACATGCAAATTCTTTGTTTAAATTCTTAAAATTTCTTTTTAAAAGTAAAACTGCTGGTAAGCAAGACTTTCAAAATAGAAAGCTGTGTAAGACTTAAGAACAAAACAACAATTAGGAGAGGAAGCTGGAATGCAGCAGTACCCTGAGCTTCAAAGCTTTTCCAACACACATTCATCACAGTTTTTATTATGCACTATTGTTTGTTTCCAACAATTACTAAATTTGTAAACAGAAAATATAAAAATATTCTTATACTTCCTTTGATAATTAAAAACTACTATGTGGTAATATCTACAATTTTACTCACCAGTAATGTATATAAATTAGTATATACACAAGCTAACAAATATATAATCTATTGATGTGAGCAATATTTAAAGCATTAAAGCATCTCATATGCTCAATCTTTTTTTTTTTTTTTTTTAAATGCTTGGTCTTATAAACATTACTTACTTAGTGCTCTGGAATGATCAGGGTTTCTAATACCTTTCATTTTTAATCTCTGTAATAACATGGCTGATGTAAGCTGCCGTACAAGATATACAGACATGGAGTAATTCTACAAACAAACAAAAAAAAAACCCTGCATTAAAGATGAGAGATAATATTCTCTTTGTTTACATGAAATACTTATTTAAGAAACTCTGGTTTCTAAAAATAACATTCAAAATAACTTCTATGGAATGGTCAATGACTGCAAAGGGGACAAAATTCACCAAGCTATTTCAGCGAAAATAAAAGCTCAATCATTTAAAACTATTTCTTGATCATTTATCACTTTAAAACATTCGCTGCTATAGGAACATAGGTTGGGTCAATGGTTTCCAAACTATGGTTCTTACTTAGCAAAACTGGTACCTTAGGGGACACCCTGAAAATGTACCCTCCTATGACTAACCAGAATCTTGCTAACCAAAATCATTCTGCTTTTATTGACTTTATGTAATGGGGCTCTCATATTTTCACTTAAAAGAGGAGTTCCACTGCAGAAACAAATTTCAAATGCCAGTGGTCTGAATTAACACTGCAAACCCAAAGTTTCAAAGTTCTAATTCTGGCAGAAGAGACCACCTGCTACATGGCCTTTGAGTAAATTACTCAAATGAACCAGGTAGCAGCTTTCTTCTGAGAAAAGCTTTGATAAATTAACTCCTGTACCCCAAATGGGTATTTTACTGACAAGCAGCAGCTACTATAATATGTAAGACACATGAAGATATGATAAAAATTAAAAAGTCAAGGCCAGAAAACAAGTGTCCAATCCCATACCTGTTTGATCTGGCACAAAGGAACCTTCATTAGCTATTTATAGAGCTATGAAGAGATAAAATATAATTTCACATAAATGCTAAAAAATCCCCTATCTTCCCATTTTATTAAATATATTCATTCAATTGATTCTACAATAAACGTAATACTTTCAATAGTTGCCAAACCAAGTATTTCAAATATTTTTTAATGTTCTTTTAAATATCTAAATACCCAATTTATGGTGTAAATTTTAGGTCAATTAATAATTTTAATTATAAGGAAAGAGTATTATCCCCATTACATGGTCTACAATCATTTATTCCAATGTCTGTAAAGTTACTCCCAGCTCTGCAATTACCTTGGTGGCAAAACAAAAAATTCCTGCTATAAATAACGCCTCAATTTCTCCATCCATAAAACAGGAGTATTATTCTGTTTAGGAACATGTAATAGGAACACTGAAATTGATGCTTCATGTAATATTAACACTGAAGCTGATGGTCAGAAATTAACTGAAATCTCCTTTCCATTCATTATTTCAGTTATATAAACAAGTAATTCTAAAATGTAAATTCCTTGTTGTATTAACTGGTATCTTATAATTGACATAATTCATTATAAGACCAAAAATCAGCCGAAAGTCAAGTTCATCAACTTGAAGGTGTAGAGAAAATATTATAATTCTAAATAAATCTTTTTATACAAATGCTCACAGATTATCTGAAATATCAGTTGTTTATATAAAGGTTAGAACAGATTATTTCTAATCACAACATGTGTACATTTAACCATTTCTCCCCCAAACTGATAAAACTTTCCTTGTTCCTCTTCATAAATATTTATCATCCAAAGCTTCTAGTTTATTAAAATACTCAACACAACATTACATACAATTGCGGTTAAACCATTACCTTAAGAAATATAAATATGTATATTTTCTTTCCAGGAAAATAAAGAGACGATATTCAAGAAAACTCAGAGCTAAAGTTTTTAACTTTAAGAATCTCCATACTGCCGCCTCTGAACTGAAAATTACTGCTTTTTAGAGATTACAATCCACAAACAAAAAGAGCTGAAGCCAACAGCTTAAGAAAAAACACAGTAAGTCAACCCCCAGTGGGGTCACTGTCCTGCTACCCAAAACGGAGAGCTTTTACCTTCCCAATTTCTGATGCCCAAGAAATGGATATTTGGTTTGGCACAGCTGAAGATAACCTAACTAAAGATGTAATATTCAAGGGGCGTCCAGGGCGCTTCTGTTCAATCCCATTTTTAGGCGGTGGTGCGTAGCCCTATAACCATAAGAAAGAAAAATTATTTCAAATTATCTGCAGGAAGATTAAACATTTTCTCCAAGATAGATACAGGATCCTGCCCAATTTCAGTTACACTATTTTTATTTTAGCCTAAAAATCATATAGCCCTTATTATCATTATCAACCCAAAACAGGAAAACAACCTTTGAAAAAAAGTTACAAAATATTTCACAAGTCCAGAAAGGTAGGAAAAAAATCCATGTCCCATCATTAAAATTAAAGATGCTGACATCTTGCCACATTGGCTATGAATCGTTTTCCTTTTTTATAGGACACCAAGCTTTACAGATAAAGTCACAACTTTTTATAATGATTCATCCTTAGCAATCCCCATTTCAAATACATGCATATATTCGGGGTGGGAAAGAAAGAAAGCAAACTGGGAATTGAGGGGAAAGAAAGAACAAACTAACGAATTTCATTTTTAAAATTTGGTGAGTGATAAAAATATTTTCCACTGCATTTTCTCTGGGTGGAACAGAAATGGTAATCTTTTAACCCAGGTCAAGTTAACAAATAAGGATAATCAGCATTTCAACTGTCATTAAATGAGCTTGATGGCTATCAGATAATACTGCTATTTATGCTTTAATCTACTTTTATCTAGTCATCAACCATTTGTTTTAAATAGCAAGTATACTCATTTCTGATTCGCAGTGTATCCAATTTCCAATTACCACAAGACTTCACTTTGATTTTTCAGAGCCAAAATAATGTATTTTTTAGAAAATTAAAATGTCTTAGCTGCAAAAAATCTACATATTGAAAAGTAGATACCATATTTCACTGACGCTAGGATGTCATTGATGTAATTTAATTATGTACTATTGAGAAAGAGAAAATACTATGTATATATGGCAAAGAAATGGAAGCAAAATGAATTAACATATTCCCTTTTGGACATAAGAATCTTCTGAATCACTTTTCACTCCATCATTAATCCATACATTTTTCCACGTAACACTCCCCTATGCACAAGCAGGAATTTTAGAGAAAAAAGTATCTTTTAAAACTGTATTTCATTCCACTAATGTCTCAGATTTCTCTGCAAGTCACTGACACCATTAACTGGATGTGTTAATGGGGATACAATCTGGATCTTATGAGAATCCATCAGAAAAAAGTTTTCAGACAACAGCCAGCATTCATGCTTCTTTCTCAAAATGTCCTTAAATTATTTGTTAACTGAAAAGCCAGGAGTACAGCTAACTAGTCACGCCATGGCATTAACACCAAAGTTGTACAAGTGCAGACAATGATAATACATCACAGCTGACACCTGGTCACCAGCAATTTTAAGACACTTCTGGATTTCAGTAATGCTAAAATATGCACCTTAGGACCAATGAAAACTAGTACTGGTAGTATCACATGGCAAAGAGGACCACACCCTGTCTACCACAACTTGGGAACTGTCTCATAAGGGGCAGGACAGTAATTATTAAATGGTAGTCCACATGATAATGTGTAATCTATAACTTGCAAAAAATTTTGAAAGTAATTAAAAACGTTTGAGCAGGGGAGTAAAAGACAAAGAGAAGAACTTAACTTGCACTAGAATACAGAAATGAAAGAGAGAGAGACAGTGTGTGTGAGTGTGTGTGTGAGAGTGTGTGTGTATGAAGGTTATGCCCATCTTAAGTTGCTCAAGCGAAAAAAAAAAAAAAAAGTTGCTCAGAAAAAGAAAAAAAAAAAAACTCCTAAGAAAAGTCCTCTTAAAAAGACTCAAGAAGTTGATTCAATGAGCAACAAGTACAAGGAATATCAACACCAGTATCTAGGTAATTCTGAACGAAACTTTTGTTTTGCCTGTTTTGGGCCTGGAAGATAATTCTGTCTGCTGGTATGTCCACTAGTAGGTTAACCAAGTAAAAATGATACAGGGTCTGTCAGGAGGATAAAAATAACTTATGAACTAAAATGTGCACTCTGGAAATTAGAATTTAAGACATAACACAGTCTGACACAGTAGAAAAGGGCAACAGAAGCAGGGAGAGTGACACTCATGTAAGAATGAAGTGTCAGCAAACTCAGAATCATGTTAGTCTCACTCAGTGTAAAGCGTTTTCAATCTATTCTATATCCCATTTGAGTAGTGTGACTTTACTGGTAATTCTGAGTTATCTGATAACCTGTATTCTACCTCTAACCATCAGCACCACCCCTACCCAACCATCAATTTCCTGGTTATTGAGAATATATTAATAGTTGGAATTTTATAAAATATAAAGTTTAGCCTTCACACATATTTCTAACAATTTTCCATATTTAAAGCAAAAATAAAGTCAAGTTCATGTGACAGGGAACCAGTGGGGCAAATCTGCAAGCTTTCTAAGCAAAGGCTGCTGGACAGCACCAGCGGAAGACTTTGTGGTGGTCCTGTGACACACTCAAATAATTTTTTATGTTTCATGCTCTGATGACATCCTACCCTACTTGCAACTGTGACAAAAGTTGTCCACAATTATTCTACTTTAACATTTTCCTCCAAATTTTCTAATTATCACCACTACTTGAATACTTCTAACACAGATTTACTTTTTAACTTTATGGAAATTTTCAAACATACACAAGAAAGGTACAAACAGCAGGGACCCACCAACCAGGTTCAATAATTATCCACGTTGCCAATCTTGTTTCAAATGCTTTTGGCCCCAAAGCCAATCTGCCCTAAAACACACACGCCACAAAAATACACATTTCTTTTTGCCCTTGAGTATTTAAACTCAAATTCTAGACATGCCATTTAACCCAGATATTCAACATGGATCTCTAATAAGACTTTAAAAACCTACAGTATTACAACCCCACAAAAATAACCAGTTTTAAAAAATCACCTAATACCTTGTCTTTCGATTCAGATTTCCCAGGTGCCTCAAAATTTATTTTCCTTTCATCCTTTTATTATTGAAAATTTTAAACATATACAAAAATAGAGAAAAAAGTATAACATGTATATATCTATCAGTTCAGTAATTTACTTACCCATGAACAATCTTTACCTACTCTACCCAACCCCCACTCCAGATTATTTTAAAGCAAATCTCAGATATATTTTCTATTTTCTCCATATGTAGTTTAGTATAGTCCTTTTACGGCTTGAATCAGAATTAAAAACTAGAGCCCCACACCACACTTACTTATGTCTCTGAAGTGTCCTTTATTCTATAAACACAACCCCTGCCGTCTCCAAACACACACTTTTTCCCCAATGCTGTTGTTCTACTGGAGAAACCAGGACTTTTGACCTGAAGAACGACTTCGCATTTTAGATTAGGTATTTTGCTTCCTCGAAGTATGAGATTTGTTGCTCTATCTCCGATATATTTTTAAAACCACTAATTAGTTGCATAAGCTTGATTAAACTTGGGGTCAAAATTTTAGAAACAAAAAACTTCAGAGAAAATGTTGCATACTTCATATGGTACCACATCATAATGCACAGAAGGTTGTTTGCCCTGTTTTCAGTGGTGTCAAGACTGATTAGGAGTTCAGGGGATGTCAGCCTGATCCCTCCACTATAAAGTTCCCTGTCAAGTTTTGGCATCCATTGATGATAGCTACCTAGACCCATTATATGATTATGAATTGTGGAATAATGATTTTCTAATTCTATTACCCTTTTGATTGTATTAGCCAAAATGTTTCCATAAAGAGCTTGACCAAATCAACAGCCGGTCACCTTGAAATAAATGATTCTCTTCCTTAATCTTCAGAGCAATGTGTTAGTGCAACCTCCAGTGGCTTATTTTAGTATAATTATTATAAACACACTTACATATTTGATAGTTTTGAGTCTACTATAATCATTATTCTTTCAGATGTCAAAATTATCACTTCTCAGGTAAGGAGGTCTCTCTTCAAATTGGGGTGAGTGCACACAAGTATGTGTTTTAAAAGAAGAAATGTTGAGTTTACGTCAGTCCTGATTCACTGTGAGGCAGGCCATCAGGGTGACTAACACACAGCATCAGGAAACATAAATCCATGAGCTCAGAAATAGAATTTATAAGAAGGGGGCCAGTACTGATAAGTCTTCTGGCTGCACCAAAAGGAACTACTTGGAGATTGTTGCCAGCTGAATTACAGCACATATCCTCTCTACACTCTTTAGGTCTTTCAAAGAAATATTCTTGTCAACCCTTCTTCCTTCCTTCAACTTTAGAGCTACACAAGTTTTATAGACATTTCTCACAAGTTTAGAAGAAAAATAATTCAGCTTCTTAAAATAACTCCTAAGCAAAGAGGGCCTTTTTCTTTTTTCTGCCCATTAAAAACATGGAATGTTCTCATCTGGCTGTCAGTCTGTAGAATGGCAGCCCTTGGAGTCAAAGATGGGAGATGGTCTCTGCAGCAGGTTCTTGTCTGTCCACACTGCATGTCACCATCCCACAAGCCCTACTATGAGCTGCTGTCTTCCTTGCACCAAGGGAACCTGGAAAATGAATGCATGAAGGTGTTTTGTAAAACTCAGCATCTTGATGTAGGTTAAAAAGCACACATGCTGCTTGTATCACTATTTGATCCTTAACAGTCTAGGGACACGCTGCCATTTTCAAAGTAATACCATTTCCCATTCCTATGTTTACTTTGTACATGCAGTACAGTGGTCAACTGCCACGGGTCCACAAAGACTGGATGTTACCATAAGATCATACACATAAGGACTTCCTCCAGGACATAGACAAATGCAACCATATTCAGGGCTCTAATGGGCAATTCATGACTGTCTCAAGCTTTTTCCTCCAGGATTCGTGGTTCAATACACCAGGATCATGGGCAAGGACCACCTATCAAACTTCTTTTGTGGCTTGTTGATGCTTCTTAAAACTGGAACAAAGTCCCTGAGGCTCTCCATGGTGCAAGAGCTCAATATAACTCCTATAGGGCCACAGCAGCTTTCTTCTTCTGAGGCTGCAGCATACTCACGTAATTCTTAAAAACTGCAGAATCTTGTTTTACATTAAAAAAGACTCCATATTTCATTATCCCAATCAATAGCAATTGTGGATCAAGTGGTGGTTTAAGATGTTTTCCATCAGATGCGAATTTCTGTCAGTTGTTCTACAGGACTTTACGGAGCTAGGGTAAAAAGACTCTTTGGGAAAGGCAGGCATTTGATTTTCTTTGGGATGGCCCTATAAGGGTCAGCAAGTCCTCCCCATTGCCTTCTGTTTTTGAGATATATCTTTACTGTTCTCTCAATGCTCCATTTCTTCTCTTCTTTCACAACTGCCCATGGAGCTGCTGCAGGCCCCTGGCTCCAGGCATGACAGACTCATTAGACAAAGGGTGTTTTGTGTAGTAGTCAATATGTTCATAAATAGGCTAATACAAGTAATCAAGGGTTAGTGGGTGCTTTGGGGCAGAAATCAGCAGTAATTAAGCAACAATGCCCCAGAAGAAGTACTCAACTGCCTAATTTCTTCTCACTCTAAAGAACTGGAAGTAACAAACTCTAAGCCATCCTCAGTGGTGCTGTAGACCTACAGAAAGGTATCATCCCAAAATGTGACAATGACTGGTCCATTTGGAAATTCTGGTAACTTCTATGTTTACACATCTGTAGCCACCATATTTTCCATAGCAATGCCAGAGTTTCAGATGCAGCTCCCATCACTGGCACAGTCACATGATGATACAGGGTAAGTCTTCAAGGTGAGTCCAAAGATACCAAGAAGCCCTCCGTTGTCTTATTTTTCATCATAGATAATGGGAGGGGCAAATAGCAATGAGAGTCAAAGGTCAAAGAAATCTTAGCAGCCAAGCGCAGTGGCTCACACCTGTAATCCCAACACCTTGGGAGGCCAACACAGGTGGATCGCTTGAGCCCAGGAGTTCAAGATCAGCCTGGGAAACATAGCGAAGCCCTGTCTCTACAAAAAATACAAAAATTTGCCAGGCATGGTGGCACATGCTTGTAGTCCCAGCTACTAAGGAGAGTGAGATAGGAGAATCGCTTGAGCCTCTAGGAGGCTGAGAGTACAGAGTGAGCCGAGACTACACTAATGCACTCCAGACTGGGCAACAGACCTGAGAGCCTTCTTTTTTTTTTTTTTTTTAATTAAAGAAAAAATGAAATCTTAGCACGTGCAAGGCAAAGAAAAATGGATATGAAAAGGCCATGGGACAGGTGCACAGGGATGTGTTTTAATCTGTTTTGCCAGGCTTTCTTTGCCACACATGCAGTATCTTTTTTTTTTTCATTTCATTTTTTTCACATAATTTTTTTAAATTACACTTTATGTTCTAGGGTACATGTGCACAACGTGCAGGTTTGTTACATATGTATACATGTGCCATGCTGGTGTGCTGCACCCATTAACTCGTCATCCATTTACATTAGGTATATCTCCTAATGCTATCCCTCCCCTCTCCCGCTACCCCACAACAGGCCCTGGTGTGTGATGTTCCCCTTCCTGTGTCCAAGTGTTCGCATTGTTCAATTCTCACCTATGAGTGAGAACATGCGGTGTTTGGTTTTCTGTTCTTGCGATAGTTTGCTGAGAATGATGGTTTCCGGTTGCATCCATGTCCCTACAAAGGACATGAACTCATCCTTTTTTATGGCTGCATAGTATTCCATGGTGTATATGTGCCACATTTTCTTTCAGCTCTAAGTAGGGCTGCTTCTTCCCTTGGTTCAGATCTTTGTGCAAACTAGCCAAATAAAAGATAATGGCCAGGTACGGTGGCTCATGCCTCTAATCCCAGCACTTTGGGAGGCCGAGGCAGGCAGATCACGAGGTCAGGAGTTCGAGACCAGTCAGCCAACATGGTGAAACCCTGTCTCTACTAAAATTACAAAAATCAGCCAGGTGTGGTGGTGGGCACCTGTAATCCCCCAGCTACTCAGAAGGCTAAGGCTGGAGAACTGCCTGAACCCGGGAGGCAGAGGTTGCAGTGAGCCGAGATTACACCACTGCACTCCAGCATGGGTGACATAGCAAGACTCTTACCTTGGGTGGGGGTGGGAGGTGAGCGGGAAAAAAAGATAGCTTCTGAGAATCTGGTTGCTAGTAGCCGGAAACCTGACAAAATAAATGTCCCACCTGGGGAAACATGTATGGGCCACGTAAGCAATCCTCCCTGACCATACCTACTCAGCCTCTGCAATTCCCCTTCACTCCCGGGACTGTCTCAATGGATTTGTTTCATACGCATCTTTCAAAAAGAGTCAGTCAGTGATGCAGTGTTGCTTAAACCCTTCAAAATTCACAAAACAAGTATTTCTCAGGTCTCTAAGTCCACAGGCTGTGTATGTGACAAATGAGCCTCCTGACAACCAAGAGAAGTCAGATGCCTCTGTCTACAAGACCAGGGTCAGTTTCAGTCATGGACTTTCTTCACTCTGGGGCTCAATTCTTAGCACTTGGCTCTGTAGAGCCCAGAGTCCTAGATCATATTGTCTGACTTGCTTGGCTACTCATGAGTATTGCTCATATATTTAGTCTAGAGCCCAGTCTCGTGTTTAGTAGGGATATTACACAGCTTCCCCATTTCCTCAATAGTTGCAGAGTGTCAGCTCTGGTGAAATGACAACTGGGGCTAGTCATGAGTCACTGCTCTCTTAGGGATTCACTTACAGTAAACACACCTCCAATTTTGTAATGCTTGACAAACATGCCATGTTGTACTATTTTTTTGATTATGGTTTTGCTGGCCTTCCTAAGGAATGGGACCAATTTAGTAATGTATCCAAAATGGAAACCAATACATAGTCCAGTTCTACGTTTTTTATTTTATTATTTTAAGACTTGACTATCAGGATTTGAACAGTTAAAAGCCATCTATTAGGCCAGAGACAGGCTGTATGCATTTACATCGTATACATCCTAGGTGCTGAAGCCCATGTACTCTCTCACTGCTTAAATGTGTTGTCACCCAACAATCATTGCACCCACCCACCACAAGCGAATGCATCATCAAGGCCCAAGCTGGGAATTCTTGATCTCTGTAGTTAGCCACTCTCAGCAGCCTCTGTTTTTCCAAAAGCCATCCACAGGCAGGCCCATCTAATCTAGACATCCCACACATGCTGTCCTATACATGAAAGTGCCCAAGTCCTTCTCTTCAACTATGCTGTTTGATATAATCCCAAGAGTATTTCACAGCATCCTTGATTTCTTAAGTAAGATGCTCCAGGCTCTAGTCAGGAGCAATGGTGCACAAGTGTAGTCCCCACGACTTAGGAGGCTGAGATGGGAGGACTGCTGGAGCCTATAAGTTCAAGTCAAGCCTGGGGAACATAGCAGAACCCTGTCTCTTTAAAAAAAAAAAAAAAGATATTCCAGGCTCATCTTTTCCATCTCCTTCAGACCTGAATAAGCCATTTATTATTTATCCAAGAAGGCAATGGGTTACTCTAGTGGAAAATAGTATTTAATCTAGATGCTAAAACTGTTCACTTGTATTCAGTTGTCACTGTTTCTAGGCCTTGTCAGTGTTTATATTAAACTTATATGCAAATCTGGTGAATAAAAAGCAACTTACAGGCAAAGGAAATAGCTTCCCATTCACTTTTATACATAGACTATTTGGATAGTTATCTTCTTGAGGGCAACTTGTCTCTGCCAGGCAAAGTCTGCATTAATAAAAGAAAAAAAGTATTCTTAAATAGCGTGCTCAAACATTCTCACATGTTTTAAAACTCAGAACTACATGCATATAGTAAGCAAGTATAAAACTAAGGTAACAGAAAATTTCAAACTCACCTCAACTGAACTTGGACTGTATAATCTCTCCTACCACCTGGCAAAAAATCCCTGTTAGAAGGAGAAAGAAAATGGGTTAAAAAAGCACAATAAGAATTCTCAGAACAGTCTCACCAGGAGGAAAAAAAGGAAAAGCATTATTTGTATTTTTCTTATTCCCTGAAAGGTGAACAATAGACTGCCAATAATACAAGCCTTAATCAAAACATTGTAATGATGATCAACCTGATTGGCTTAACTTCTAGCCATGTCTTTATGGCAATTTTAAATTAGTTTCAATGCACAGGAACTTTGATGATGCAAAATTTATTTCAATAGACATCAAACTTGGTAACATGCAAGGAAGCAGACTAAGTTCAGAAAGAGTTTTAATCAACAAATCTATTTACTTAGAGTATTCTAATCACTTGAAGACATTTTTCTTTTTCTTTTTTTTTGAGACAGAGTCTCGCCCTGCCACACAGGCTGGAGTGCAGTGGTGCAATCTCAGCTCACTGCAAGCTCCGCCTCCCAGGTTCACGCCATTCTCCTGCCTCAGCCTCCCGAGTAGCTGGGACTAAAATGCCTGCCACCATGCCCAGCTAATTTTTTTGTATATTTTTAGTAGAGACAGGGTTTCACTGTGTTAGCCAGGATGGTCTCGATCTCCTGACCTTGTGATCCGCCTGCCTCGGCCTCCCAAAGCACTGGGATTACAGACGTGAGCCATCGCGCCCAGCCGAAGACTTTTTTTTAAATATAAAGACGTATTCACTGGCTACTCTTATTGATGTCAAGTACAGCCTAAGCATTAGTTTTTATAGTTACTAGGGGGATACTAATACAAGACCCAGGATAAAGAATTAGTGCCTAGGGTCTCAGCATCTCCATACCATGCAACTTCATAATTACGTATCCAATTAAAGATACAGAACCTCTTACAATTTCTAGATGAGAATCTAATGGTCCCATGTAAAATATATTTCATACTGAACCCTCCAAACTCTTGCCACGCAACATGGAGTCCACGGGGAAGCAGCACTGTTATTCCTTAGGAGCTTGTTGGAAATGCAGACTCTGAGGCCCCATCCTAGACCTATAGAATTAGAATCTGCATGTTAACAAGATCCTCAGGTGACATGCATACACATTACAGTTTTAAGAAGTATTATCCTCAGCCATTGTCATAAATCTTGGACTCTGTCAGAGAGAAGATCACTAGAATGTAGTTGTTTCTTGAGAAGACTGGAGTACACTGAGCCCTCATGGTGCTCTATCTGGGCCAGTCTTCTGTTTCCAATCCTCGAGCTCCACTGGAAGGCATTAAAGCACAGCAGTGACAACCACCTTAAGTTCTACAGTCCCAAGCTGCACAACATCGTGCAAATCACTTAACCATTCTGTGCCTCAGTTTCTACATCTGTTAAAGATGGAAAATTGCTGCACCAACCTCATCAAGTTGCTGTGACAATTAAACATGCTAACAACACATGTCAAGTGCCTAAATATAAGATGTGCTCAACACATGGAAGCAGCTGGCTGCTGTGACTGTTTCTACTGCTCCCACTGTTCTTACCAAGAGCAGCTTTCTCAAATGGCTATTCAAAACATCCCCATATCCTTGACAATACTGACCTCTTCTGAGCAACCCATATCACTCCACTCATGCAAATCAAGAAACATTTCATATTCTGGGCGCTGGAGCTTCAAAGACAAATATAACACAGTATTTGCTTCAAAGGATTTATACGCTAAGCAGGTAACAGACATACAACACGTAAAGTAAAATATAGTAAGTGGTACAGTACATTATGAAAAGTAAGTGCTATAGAAAAAGGGAAAATTTTTGTCTTGAAAGTTCAAGGTCGTTATCATAATTAGTACAATCTAACTAGAAAACAGGGTTTTTTCAGCAGTGGTTCTACCTACTTCTGCTTAGTGGCTCCACTAGGAACATGAGTAACTGTGGGTATCTAGTACAGTAATTTCCAGCAAAAAAGGCCAGAGATACAGATCAGAAAAGATGGGAAACATGATGTGAAGAAAGAGAAATGACAAGAGATGAGCCTAGAAAGATGGATGGAAGCATAAAGGGTTTTGAACAGCTCACTAAGGAGTTATACTTTATTCTGGCAAGGGAAATTAACAAAAACTGGAAAATACAATGTGCTAAATATCTTCACAAACATTATGAGTAATGACCAAGGCATTTTCTGACATTCATTTTCTGCCCATCATTGTTCTAGGAGCTTTTACATATTGGTCCATCAGATATAAAAGAAGCATTTACTATATGCTAAGTACCGTAATGGGTTTTGAGATGATAAAAATGAGTAAAAGATGCTGCTTTCATTAAGAAGGTTGCAAATGCAAGCAGTGAAATAAATGCAATGATGCCTTAACAGAAAATAAGTACATGGCAAAGTGAGAAACAAAGGAAACATTAAAGCAAATCTGGAAAGGCACCACAGGGGACGTATGACCTGAAGTGGCCCTTGAAACACGGCTCAAGAGGTTTGCCAGGCAGAGTACAGAGAAAGAAGACGGCAAAAGTGCAAAGCTGTGAACACCACGGTTAACCTAGGAAACACAAATGGGAAAGCCTAGTCAGAGCACAGGTTGTTAGAAAAGAGTAACAGGAGATAAGATGATTTAAAAAACAAAACAAAACAAAAAAGCAGAGCAAGATGTTGAAAACAACTGCCAGGCAATGGAGTGTGGACTTTATGAGGTACCATTAGAGTGTGTTTAAAGCATCAAAGAGAAAAAAAATGAATGGGCTTTAGAAAGATCATACGTAGGAGCCTTCTAATAGAAAGATCTCATAATTAGGAAACCATTACAACTGAAGAGGCAAAAACAAAGGCTTGAAGCTGGGTGCAGTGGCTCACGCCTGTAATCCCAACATTTAGGAAGGCTGAGGTAGGTGGAGTACAGGACCAGCCTAGGCAACATAGCAAGACCCCGTCTAAACAAAAAATAGAAAAATTAGCCAGATGTGGTGGCACGTGCCTACAGTCCCAGCTAGTTGGGAGGCTAAGGTGGGAGGATCAATTGAGCCCAGACATAAAAGGCCGCAGTGAGCCTTGATTGTGGCACTGTACTTTCAGCCTGGGTGACACAGCAAGACCCTGGCTCAAAAAATAATAGTAATTTCAAATGGGGGTCTGAAAACTATTAAACATAAATATCACTGAGTGATATTTACACATAAAAAATGGTAAGACTTGGCCAGGCACGGTGGCTCACGCCTGTAATTCCAGCACTTTGGGAGGCCGAGGCGGGCGGATCACAGGGTCAGGAGATCGAGATCATCCTGGCTAACACGGTGAAACCTCGTCTCTACTAAAGATACAAAAAATTAGCTGGGCATGGTGGTGGGCGCCTGTAGTCCTAGCTACTCGGGAGGCTAAGGCAGGAGAATGGCGAGAACCTGGGAGGCGGAGCTTGCAGTGAGCCGAGATCGCGCCACTGTGCTCCAGCCTGGGCCACAGAGCAAGACTCCGTCTCAAAAACAAACAAACAAACAAAAAAAATGGTAAGACTTGATGAATGACTAGATGTGAGAAGGCAGGATAAAGGAAGGGAAGTTTCTAGGAGGGTATCCAGGTTTTGGAATGCTGCAACTGAAGAGATGGCCATGCTACTCAACAGGACAAGAAGAGGCAGAGCAAGTTACAGCATCAATCTTCCAAACCACCCAGAGAGGTGGTGATCATTATTCCAATTTTACATGCTGAGAAAGTGAGGTTTAGTCACCTGTTTAGGGGCATACAGACCTAAGTGGTTGGCTCAGAATTCACTCTCTACTTAGTATTACTCTAAAGACCATACTAGCTCCCTCAAAGGCAGAGTTGCCTTGCTGAGTTTTAAAGATTCAGAAGGACATAAAAGAATCAATGAAGGGCTGGGGGCGGTGAGGCCGGTGGATCACGAGGTCAGGAGATCGAGAACATCCTGGCTAACACGGTGAAACCCTGTCTCTACTAAAAATATAAAAAATTAGCCAGGAGTGGTGGCAGGTGCCTGTAGTCCCAGCTACGCGGCAGGAGAATGGCGTGAGCCTGGGAGGCGGAGCTTGCAGTGAGCCGAGATCGCGACACCGCACTCCAGCCTGGGCCACAGCGCGAGACTCCGTCTCAAAAAAAAAAAAAAAAAAAAAAAAAAATCAGTGAAGTGCAGCAAACTGAGAGGATGCTGTAAATGAAGAGTGCCTATCACAAAGAGGGCCCTGTCCAGGCAGAATTCAAATGCCATTAATGAAATGAGTAATGCAGAAGGAAAATACACTAAGCAAAAATCTCCATGAGCCAGTTTGTTTTCAAACTTTGCGTCTTTGGTGCCTGGAATATTGTCTGGTCCATGGCGACATGTTAATAAATGTGTGCTGCAATAGCAAAGACTTGGAGATCAACCCAAATGTCCATCAGTGACAGATTGGATTAAGAAAATGTGGCACATATAACCAGTGGAATACTATGCAGCCATAAAAAAGGATGAGTTTTGTGTCCTTTGTAGGACATGGAGTGCAGCTGGAAACCATCATCTTAGCAAACTATCACAAGAACAGAAAACCAACACCGCATGTTCTCACTCATAGGTGGGAACTGAACAATGAGATCACTTGGACTCAGAAGGGGAACATCACACACCGGGCCTATCATGGGGGGGGGAGGGGGAGGGACTGCATTGGGGTTATACCTGATGTAAATGACGAGTTGATGGTGCAGCACAGCAACATGGCACAAGTATACATAGTAACCAAACCTGCACGTTATGCACATTACCCTACAACTTAAAGTATAATAATAATAAAGTAAATTAAAAAAAATAAAATAAAAAAAAAAATAAATGTGTGCTGAATGAATGAATAAAAGAACAAAAGACAAGCAGGTTTGATGGAAGGCTAGTTCAATTTTAGATGTGTTGTGCTTGATGTCCTTGTAGGTCAAAGGAGAGGCACTGAAAAAGGTGTCTGGAGGGAGGTGTTGGTAATTTCGCAGCCACCAATATAAAAATAATAAAGCACATTAATGAATATTATCATAGAGTAGCAAGAAGAGAATCCCAGATTGATTCCTGAAAATGGGTACAAGAAGCCAGTGTGAGGAACTGAGAGAGCATGGTTAAAAATATACTAGCACCAAATGGAAGGAGTAGCGCTAAAGCCAAGAAGAGAACTGAATCCAATGTTCAATCTTCGCGAGATGTAACAGAAAGAAAAAATCTGGACAAGAACGTATTCAAGCCTCTAGTCTAGATCTTACTACCACTACAGGCAAAGGGGAAGGAGCTAGAAACACAGCTGTGGTTTTCAAGTTGGCTGCATACTGGAAACCTGGGAAACTTTAAAACCCCTGATGTTTGGGTTCAATCTTGAGATTCTAATTTAACTGATGTGGGATAAAACCTGACTATGTGAATTTCCTAAATCTCCCCAGCTGATGCTAATATGCAGCAAAGTTTGAGAAACATGCGGAGAGAAGCAGTTAAATGACACAAGAAGCAATCATCCGAATCCAGAATGTACAATATGCTAGAGGCAAATAAATCACTTTTTCTGGAAAGTAGTGTTATAAAATAAAGTCTAATGAGAGAAACCAGGGCTCCTTGGAGAACTGATCAATTCCACAGTTGCGGCAGAGAAAATACAAGATAAGCCTGGAGCATTTTTGGTGCAAGAAATTAAAGAGTGCTCAAAGTGGGTTTCAGGGAGAAAGGTATGCCAACAGGGCATAGGAGCCAACTTGAAAGAACTTCTAATACACAAAGATAGAACAATTTGAGCAATATAAATTATTGCAACATTGGAATATAACCCATAGAGCACCCATGAGTCCACACTGTTATAAATGAATAAATGGGCTGGGAATGGTGGCTCACATCTGTAAACCCACACCTGTAAACCCAATAGTTGGGGAGACAGAGGAGGGAAGCTCACTTGAGCACAGGTGTCTGAGACTAGCCTGTGCAATACAGTGAGACCTCATCCCTACAAAAAACATAAAAATTAGCCAAGTGTGGTGTTGTGTACCTGTTGCCTGATATGGTACCCTGAGAAGGGCACATAACTTGAGGTATTCTTGCCAAAAATGCACAACCTCCATCTAATCGTGATAAAATATCAGTCATATCCCCAAATGAGAAAGAATCTACAAAACACCTGACCAGTTGTGAAAGACAAAACAAAACTAAGAAACTGTAACAGATTGAAGTAGAGTAGGATGACTCAACAATTAAACGTGATTTGGTATTGTATCTAGGAACAGAAGACGTTCATTGGCCAAAAAACTGGTGAAATCTGAATAAAGTCTGTAGTTAATAGTACTGTACCAATGTTGATTTCTTGGTTTTGATCATTGTACTATGGTGATATAAGATTTAATATTAAGGGAAACTGGGATAAAGAATATATGTCCTATTTATGTAATTTTTATCTAAATAAAAATTACTACAAAATGTAAAGTTTTTATGCTGGGCATGGTGGCTCACGCCTGTAATCCCAGTACTTTGGGAGGCCGAGACAGGTGGATCACTTGGGACCAGGAGTTCAAGACCACCCTGACCAACATGGCGAAACCCCACCTCTACTAAAAACACAAAAATTAGCCAGGTATGGTGGCGCCTGCCTGTAGTCACAGCTACTCAAGAGGCTGAGACAGGAGAATCGCTTGAACCCAGGAGGCGGAGGCAGAAATGAGCCGAGATCACGCTACTACACTCACTCCAGCCTGGATGACAGGGCGAGACTCTGTCTCAAAAAAAAAAATTATGTAATTAAGCACAGAATTTCCCAAACTTACTTAACTGAAACAATCTTATTTTTGAAAAACTCTTATTATCATCTCAAAGAGTGTTCTAATGAATAGTTGAAAAGGAAGTAAACAACTCTACTCAATTTCTTGTTCTGCTTTTAACATTACAGTCCCAAAAAATCATTAACCTCCAGAAGCCTTAGTTTCATTATGCTGAATCTTTTAAGAATGCAACTTTAAAGAGTCATAAAAATAATATTTTGTTAACACTAAAGGTGTGTGTGTGTGTGTGTGTGTATGTGTATATATATACACACATATATACATTTTTTTTGAGACAGAGTTTCGCTCTTGTTGCCTAGGCTGGAGCGCAGTGGCGCGATCTCGGCTCATTGCAACCTCTGCCTCCTAGGTTAATGTGATTTTCCTACCTCAGCTTCCTGAGTAGCAGGGATTACAGGCGCCCACCACCACGCCCGGCTAATTTGTTGTATTTTTAGTAGAGACAGGTTTCGTCATGTTGGCCAGGCTGGTCTTGAACTCCTGAACTCAGATAATCCACCCACCTCAGCTTCCCAAAGTGCTGGGATTACAAGCATGAGCCACCGTGCCCGGCCTTTTAAAAAATATTTTTAATTGGAAAATTAAATGCTACAGATTTCCTTTTCTTTCTTCTTACATCTCTTAGTTCATCTGCTCTTTACAAATGGGTCTACCAATACTTTTCATATATCTAGTAATTTTTTGGTCAGGATGACTATACAGCTCACTTTATCCATAACTGCCTCAGTTTATGTTCTTATCTCAGAATAATTATTAGTAATGTTTACTTTCACTCTCAAAAATGCCCCAGTTTGGAATGATAAAGCTTATGGTCACCCTGTCTTTGGGCTATTATAAATTCTTTTTATATTGTTTTTCCTAATTTTTTTTTTTTTTCAGTCGGGGTCTCACTTTGTTGCCCAGTCTGGAGTGCTGTAGCACGATCACAACAGCTCACTGCAGCCTCGACCTCCCAGGCTCAAGTGATTCTCCCACCTCAGCTTCCTGAATAGGTGATGCTAATTTCTGTATTTCTTGTAGAGACAGGGTTTCACCATGTTGCCCAAGCTAGTCTGAACTCCTGGGCTCCAGTGATACTGCCACCTCCCAAAGTGCTAGGATTACAGGCGTGAGCCACCATGTCCAGCCCGGGAATAAATTTTTCATTTAAAAAATTATTGTCAAATAGAACAAAAAGCAATCTAAAAGACATTGAGGTTTTATTCAAAGGTTAAAAATTTTTTCTAATACACAGTATTTACTTAATATTTGGCTGACTTTAGTCAAAGTATACTACCCTTTCATAAAAGAAACAGGTCAACTGTTATGGACTGAATTGTGTATCCCCAAACATATGTTGAAGTCTTAACCCCCAATGTGACTGTATTTGGAGACAAGGCCTTTAAGGAGGAAATTAAGGTTAAATAAAGCCACAGGGTAGGTCCCTAATCCAATATGAATGTGTCCTTACAAGAAAAGAAAGACATCAGGGATGCACTAGTACAGAGAAAAGGCCATCTGAGATGTGCAAGCCAAGGAGAAAGGCTTCAGGAGAAATCAAACCTGCCAAAACCTTGATCCTGGACAGAAGCCTCCAGGATTTTGAGAAATAAATCTGTTGCTTACGCTGTTCTCAGTCTGTGAAATTTTGTTATGGCAGCCCTACAGGTGAATAAATCAATATTCATGAGAAATACATTCCAAATATTCCTCTTACCTGGATATGCATATCTCTCTAACTTGTTGAGGTGTCAAAGCAAAAATAAAAAACTTCTCTTGAAATCGCTGAATACTGCTTTGAACTGGGAAGAAAAAAAAAGAAAGATAATATTTCAATAACAAATCCAACACTACAACCACCTGCAATAACCAGGCATTTTTTTATGAAGTACCTGCCTAATTCTGAAACGTTATGGTTAAAATACTCCAAAATCAAGAAGTACTAAACTGCATTCATCTTGGAATCATGAGTAAAGTCACTACAAAGGGATTTCTTTAACGTTAAGTATGTAACCTCATTCTTTACTCTAAAATACTAATGCAGGCTGGGCGCAGTGGCTTATGCCTGTAATCCCAGCACTTTGGAAAGCTGAGGTGGGTGGATCACCTGAGGTCAGGAGTTCAAGACCAGCCTGACCAACATGGAGAAACCCCGTCTCTACTAAAATTATAAAATTAGCTGGATCTGGTGGTGTGTGCCTGTAATCCCAGCTACATGGGAGGCTGAGGCAGGAGAATCACTTGAACCCAAGAGGCGGAGGTTGCAGTGAGCCAAGATTGTACCATTGCGCTCCAGTCTAGGCAACAAGAGTGAAACTCCATCTCAAAAAAAAAAAAAAACAAACAAACCAATGTACAGTAAAAATGTAACAAAACCCTTCAATATTACATTTCATTCTTAACTATAATATTATCTAATGAAAGGAAGTCAAAATGCTCCCCAGGAGAACTCTATCCAAGAATTAAATGCTTTTTATTTTTCTTTGTTGTATTTTGCTTTTGGTGCCCTATATTTATTACACAAAACACTCATATGAGAAAATTTTGAATGTCAAAACTTTTAAGTTTTGAAGTTATTAAGATACATAATAATTTGCATATGAAAGTCTGCCCAGTTAAAAAATATTACTTAATGAAATCATCCTTATGTATATTATTACCTGAAATGTATTTATGACTTCACAAAAGCCTGTAATAGGTTAATAATGAATTATTCAATAATGTTCTAGTGTCCATTAAAACAAACATAAAAGTTAATATATACATATAGAGGCCTCAAGTCTTCTGCTTCCTAACAATTGCAACATCACCCACATAAAGTCAAAATGGGGACAGGCACAGTGGCTCACGCCTGTAATCCCAGCACTTTGGGAGGCCAAGGCACACGGATCACCTGAGGTCAAGTGTTCAAGACCAGTCTGGCTAACACGGTGAAACCCCATCTCTACTAAAAACACAAAAATTAGCCAGGCATGGTGGCATGTGCCTGTAATCCCAGCTACTCCAGAGGCTGAGGCAGGAGAATCACTTCAACCTGGGAAGCGGAGGTTGCAGTGAGCTGAGATCGTACCATTGCACTCTAGCCTGGGTGATGAGGGAGACCCTGTCTTCAAAAAAAAAAAGGTAAAATGGTCCTTGTGTATAATACTGTCTAGTTTTCCTGCTATATGAATATAAAAAAGATGCCAATTGAATATCCAATGTCAGAGAGGTTCAACCACAAGTCATATCAAGTCAGAAAAATATTAATTCCCTAGCTAAGATATTCTTTTCTTTAAGCACAGGCAGTTTATTATATCAATTATTCTCCTAGAAATCATGTCACAAAATGGTTCATATTTTTTCAGAACACTTTAAAAAGGAGGGAAGAGGGAGATGCCGTTTATGATGAAGGCCAAAAAGTAAAATAAAACTCTGGATTATAAACATAATTATGGAGCATCAAACACAGAAACATAAGTAAGCCTCTTCATTTCTCCAGTTTCTATTTACTCCTCAACCCTTTTTTTCTTGTTCGGACTCCACTTTTCATTCTCTATCTGTGGCTAAGGTCACCAATGACCTCTTAACTGTCAAATGTAACAACCTGTATTTTGAGATTACAAGTAAACTTGCTGCATTTTAATCTTAACTAATTAATGACATGAGCATCCAGTCTCTTGAGCCAGAAACCTCAAAAGGTCTAACATAAGTACAAATGGAGAATTAAAAGAAGAGAGTGTAAAATGAGGCATTAAAAAGTAAAACTACTTGCAGAAATAATGAGTCAATAATCCTACCTTTGATGGAGGTGAAAAAAGAATTTACAAATTAAATTCCATGTAAAATAATACAAAGAACTACCTAGTCAGAACATAATCAAACTATTGAAAACCAACAACTATAAAATCTTGAAAGCAACGAAAGAAAAAAGAAACAAGGGAACAATACAAACCAAGGCCACTTCTCATCAGAAGCAATATAGGCCAGAAGGTATCTTTAAAGTGGTGAAAGAACAAACTCAACTGAAAATTCAATACCCCTCAAAAGCAGAGTGGAAGAATAACTTTTCAGATAAACAGAAGATATAAGAATTTGTTGACAGCAGACATGCATTACAAGAAATGTAAAACAAAATTACCAGGATTATTTAAAAACATATAAATTCAAAACTGGATCTCTGAGAATGAAAATCTTACAGTAAATAAGTGTAAATGTAAAACAGTATGCTGTATTTTCTTCTTGTAATTTCCTTCAAAAGACTATTGAAAGCTAAAGTGATGGCATTGAAAGGCAGTATTTCTAACACAGGGAGGAAATACGAGAACAGCAAAAAGAATGGAGGGGGTAGATAAAGGAAATTATCTCCCCGACAACTGTATTTCCTGCTTTTTTCTGATAAACCTGATTACCTAAATCTCCCTAAAGACCAATCCACTCTTAGCGTGCCAAAAGCAGCAGGTATCTACACCTGTAAAGTTGGGCACAAGACCCTCTGTGAATTCACCAGGATAAATGCCAGTATTTGAGGCTCTGTCTGAATGACTGGAGTCAACCTATCCTTAAAAGTTTCCAAAAACCATGAACCTTAACATTTGGAATGAGAATGGTTCCATAGTCATGTTGTACATGTATGCTCGACACGTACTTTTATATCAAATTGTACTTACATGTTGCACATATGCAATATATATGTACAATTTATAGAACTGGAAGGTTAATGTTAGTAGTCTGTGTCATAGTAGACATATTCTTGGTGTGCCTTTTATTTTTCTGACATATCTTTGACTTTACCTATATCTGCTGTCGAATTTTCAATCCAGATTATAATCTCTAATAACCACCCTGTATCTACAGAAAAATGGATTTGTGTCATTGCTATATACTATAACTAGACTCCAGGAACTTATAGCAACAAAAAATAGCACATATGCTAATACAAATCTAATGTGTATTAACACTGACAGTTTTTAGATAAGTCAATTTTATGATAGAACAGCAGCCAAAAGCATACCAAACTTTCCATAAAGTAAATTTGCTAGCTGAATGGTCATTTTAACATAAATCATGAGAAAGAATGCAGGATGCAAAGTAAAGTATGCAGGTTTTGCAGTTTATTTTCTCCCCATTGTCTACAATTTGGGAATCAGAAAACCAATTCTGCAGAGATTCCATGAATGCCTTTAGGTTAAGAGCAAATGAAAGGAAAAAAGATCATGGCTCAAGGGCATGAATTAAATATGGCTTTATTCAAAACCTTTCCTTTTGCAACAACTCTTCATAATGTAGATTCTATTTTCCAAATATAACCACATTATCTCCCATGGTGTCCTCCTTTTTATGTAAACTTGACACTCTTCCAATTGAGTAGTGGGGTCTTTATCACCCTCCCTTTGAATCTGAATGGCCTTTTGTAACAGCATCAACCAACAGTGTACAGTTTAAGTGATGCTATACAGCTCCAAGCCTGAACCATAAAAATACCACGCACATCTTCCTTGCTCTGTGGGGACACTCATTCTTGGAACCTAGCTCTCATGCTATAAAGTAGCCCAAATTAGACCACATGAAGAAGCCACATATGGGTATTCCAGCCAACAGCCAAGTTAAGTCCAAGTCATCAGGTAGCATAGCTGCCAAAGATGTCAGGGAAGATGCCTCCAAGTGATGTGAGTTTCTAGCCAAGTGCATCTCAAGCATATGTCTTCTCAGCTAAGACCCCACACATCTTGGGATAAGAAACAAGCCACCCACACACTGCCCTTCCAAATTACTGACCTAAGGAATCCATGAGCATGTCAGATACAGTAAGTTCCTCTTCAAAGGTTTAATTTCTGACTTCCTTATTCTTTGTTCTTGAGCTCTACTTCCTTGTCTCTTCTCCTAAGCTATCTGCTCTGTAAACAACTTCTCCGGCCAGTGCCAATCTGTAACTCACTTCTCTTCCTTATTTGGAAAGAGTCCTCTTTAATCCTGGCTACCCATTCTGTCAGCAACCCCTACTGCTGAAATAGCTCTCCCTGTTAAAAACTACGCTTCCCACCTTTGCTGCACCCTGACATGCCCAAACATGCCTTGTACTGTAACAGACAGCCTCTCCCCGCCTAATTAGCTATATTCAATTTTAAATGGTAGCCAATAGGGTCAGTGTAGATTGTGCAGTCTGACTCTAGCCAATGGGGACAGGACACAGAACCAGGGATTAACCGTGTTAGGGATAAAAACCCCTTCCCTCCTTTGTTTGGTGTGCTCTTACAGCACGGCCAGAAGTGCAACCAGCACCCTTCTGCAGAAGTAAATTTGCTTTGCTGAGAAATGCTTCGTTTGGGTGCTTGTTTTCCTTGTCACTCCAAGCCCTTGTTTCTAACAACTTGGGGGCCCATCCGTGATTGCCTTTCTCATCCGGGAAGAGGTCCCTGACTATCTCTCATGAGGAGATGCATCCCACTGTCTCGCTGCGGTGTCCTCAGGGATGAGGGATCAGGACCTCCCCCAGCATGACAAATAAACCTGGACTCTCAGCAACGCAGGTGAAAAGGATCCTCACATACCATGGCGACCAGGTAACTCTGTGCACAAACCAAGGTAAGAAAAGTCACAGGGGCAACAAAGTATTTCCTTGGTAGTTGGTACATCTTGGAGGTTGAATGTGTGTGAATGAGATGTATAATTAAGCACAAAGCAAGTGTGGAGTCCGGATCTGCAGTTCCGTGGTCACCTCATACGGCTTATGGCAGATTCCTGTTGTGGGGCTTATACCAACACACTGATGCTAAGAGGGACTTAAATTCCCACGACGGAAGCAGCCAGAGAAGGCCAAAGC